ATTATTCCCATCACAATCTCCTAGTTGCCGCTGTAGTCCAAGTTGACACAGCATACAGACAGCAGCTTGTTTTGTGGCACCCACAGTCCAAGAGACAAAAATATGTAGATTAATATCACAGAAGACAAAGGAAATCAGAAATATTCAAATATTTCAGAAGGTGAAAGCAATGAAATGTTGGCATTGTGCATAAAAAATTATTATTAAATGATCAAAGATCAGTGTAGAGTACATTCAGGAAGTCTTAAATTTCAGTCATTTGAATGTGTGAATATACTGTATGTGTGTGTATATACCTGTATATATGGGCACAAATTGACTGTGCTATGTAACTTTATGTAAAGTAGCGACAGTTAGCACTATCTCATCCAACTACAACGGTAAAATACGATACATCAGTATCAACAGTCTAACAATGACCTAATCCTCACATGACCTCTCAGATTCACCTCCAGGGTAGAAACCACTGCCGTAGCCATATGTATATATACAATTAATACTTTTGTTACGGACAGACACAAAGTCCCACCGACTCTGTCTGTCTGTCTATGCCTCTTGTAAATTCGCACATCCACAGAACTGATAGTTGCCACTGTCTACTGATCAGAAACAAAAACAGCACAGAGGATTAGTGTAGACCCCTATACAACTGTCACTCTCTTTCTCTTGCACTAAGAATAGAAACAAAGAGGTCAGTGAGGCCATTGTGTGTGGAAGACAAAGTAAAAGATGCACCAGTATTACAGTGTACACAGATGTTTTAATTCCTTCTCTCCTATTGCTTCCTATTATTGCTTCACTGTATATGTTTCATGTGTAGAGCTGAAAAGGTTAGTTGATTGTTGCCAGCTGCTCATATTTGATGATTTGCTGCTTTTCTTTGCCTTATATGAAAGTAGGCTGAATATCTTTGGGTTTTGAGGGATTTTCTAAATTATCACAGATAATTTGATGGCCTCACTGGAGCTCGCCTGAGGGACACAGACCTCAGAACATCCCGGCCTTCTCAACACATACTGTAGCTTTTGTTATGATGAACTAAACCCTGGGGGTGAAAACATACGTATTTGTGAATAATGCCGCTTTTCATGGTGTAGAAGTGGATACATCTAGACTGACTGGACTTCTACTGGGTCTTTGTCAGTGTATCTAAAGTATGCATAAGGAGTCTAAACATGATGGTGTTCATATACACGTACTGGTAATAGATCTTTAGGAGTCCTAGATACACTGTAATACACCCATAACACTAATCTTTCAGTTTGTCAGCTTGTGAGAAGCCAGTTTGCTGAGAAATGGATTATAAAGAGAACTTAGTGCCAGCAGCCAGGACTTGAACCTTATTCTGTACAGCTTCACTTACTCTACTCTTTCCAAAATAAACAGTTTGGAAATGTAACATCAAGTGCCAACTCACAGCATCTGCAGCCACAGCAAAAAAGACATCTTGTTTATCAGCTCATTTTTAGCCATCGTACCCCGAGGGCATCAGTGTAACCCAGACAGAGTCAAAAACACTGCAACAACACGCACAAAGCATCCTGCTGTGTGGAGAGAGGTCGCAGAGCAAGAGCAGAATGACAAACACTGATTTGTATTTGTTTTACTTGCATGCTTTGGGCATTTCACGATGGTCCTGCCAGGATACATTATCAAGAATGCCCCCATTTGCTACGCAGACTAGAAGAAAAAGCCACTTTGTCTTACGGTTAAGCTGCTAACGTGCTCTGTGAAACTTGCAGATGACAACAGTGATGCTGATGTGGGCAGCTGCATCCGAGAAACCCGCCGTCTTCTCCACCTCTGACATATTCTCATGCTGTTATGCAAAAGCTTGGCAAACTACCAATGCAGTACAAAACCCCTGTGACTTTAAATATGTTGTGTTAAAATGAAACATGAACATTTAGAGAACAGTGCTAACTACATTATTTTTATACAACATTTAATCTTGTGTTTGAGATGAACCATTTCAAGTTAAATGTCTTGTATTAATTAACAAATCCAAACTGAATTGAAATGTCTTTTTAAATCTCGGTGTACATCATGAGGGGCACTGACTGTATAATCTAAAAGAAAACGTACATTTTGTCCAGGGTTTTAGAGCTCTTCGCTCCTTTCATAGCACGGTAAGTCCTTTGAAAAAATCTTGAAAAGTTTTTTAACCCTTTTAGAACGTTATCCTACATAAATTTCAAAGCAGCATTTTCTCTTGAAAATGCCATGGAATGAAAGGAGTGGGAGCTAATTACGAGCATTCTTCGATGAATTAGCGTTTGGTGTGTGGTAAGGCTGTGCCCGCCTTTGTCTTGATCCCTAAACTGATCCCTTACTTATTCCCCAAAAGGTCAGAGGTCATTTGGTTAATTAAGGGTCCAATCAGTCTTTAGATAAACTCATCTGAGCTTGATGTTTGCACTTTTTGAGGTCCAGCAGCTCTGCCTGGTACCCCTGAGCTTCATGTAGCCTCACAACCTACTAATCTACCCAAAGACAGGGGAGCAAGTTAACGCAGCTCAGCAGCGCCAAGCTGGAACAGCCTTTTTGTTTGAGGGCTTCAGTCAGTGAAGAATGTCTGTAAGCTCTCGCCAGAGCAGTGAAATTACTTAAGCTTGATGTATTGTCCACAGGGTGAGGGTTCAGGGTGGGGGCATTTTAAACCTCTCAAAGAGCAGCAGATTACGCAGAGTAAGTAATGTTTATGCAGCATGATGAGGGCAGTGTTTTCAGTGGATATACTGTATGTGTCCGGGCCCATGCCACACACATCCAGGGTGATGAAAGTGTAGCTGAAATAAGTAACCATGAAATCTCTGAATGAGCTGTGAATGGACTTAGTAGAACGGAGATTACTCAGTCGCTCACAGGACATTTTGTTATGCAATTAGAACTGTAGAGTATTCTGTTTTCCATTGAGGATTGTCAGCAATTGCTTACTAGCAACAGTACAGTACACACAGCCTATATAGCAGCTATATTATATTTCTATAAAATCAAAGTTTTTGGGCCCCAAATATTTCAATTTGTTGATATGATGATCTTAAAAACTCCAATGAAGGACCAGTGAAACATAGCTGTACAAAGATTCCCTGACGCTCACATATTTGTTGCAGGATGGAAGCACTTGCATCTACACAGTGTGTGTGTAAAAAAGGTGAAAAATAAATGGAAATCAGTTTTATAATCAGCAGCTTACTTGTTGTCTCCTTTAGAAAAATGCTAAATCTTAAACACAAGAAAATGTAAACAACAACATGTAGATGTGTTCTCATCATAAACTACATGTACGTTTTACATTCCCTTAAATAACATATAAATCACATTTTTCGAAAAAGTACAAACACAAAGCTGAAATAGGACTCACTGTTTTGTAGAGAACACATAAAAAAGGTTTAAGTCTTTGTACTCTGCAAATATTGGACTTTTTATACTATAAATCACCAAACCAAAGGAGGCTGTACAAGAAAATAAAGACTAGATATGACCTTAAAACAGTAATAACCCAGAAATTCTCTGTCACAAACCAGCATGTGCAGCACCGCGCACCACAGCTCAACACCTTTCTACCAATATCTCATAAAAATGGCAGTTTTCTGAAAATACCCAAAGAAGACAAACAAGAAAACTCACCAGACTGCCTTGTTAAATGTTCCCCCTTACACGACGGTCTCTACTCGTACAGAAAATCTTAACAGTCTCCTGTCCCACTGGACTGCCAGGGAATCAAAGCCATGAAAAGATGTGACTGTAGCTGAGCAAATAGGATTAAAGATGGCTAAATCCAAATGGTTGGAAGCACAGCATGCATTAAAGAGGAATTCTCTCAGGAAAGATAATCCTCATATACGCATTTTAACACACTTCACTCACTCCCGTGTTTTTTTTTACACGAGAAACCACAATTGCCTGATTGTTCACACACGAGTCAATAAAATCTATAAATACAAATCCGCCTGGACCATTCAGACTGCAACTATGACACATGGAACTTCTAATTTCAGAGGTGGAAACTTTACACATTCAAACTGACAATTATGCCACATTCCCTCTTGTTCCCTTGCACAAACCATTACCACTGTTACCTACCTTCAGAACCTCCATTGGCACCTGTGCAGCGGGTGGTAAACTGGCGGGGACACTGACATTGATGGCAGGGGTCTGGGCCACTGTGCTTTGTGCGTACTGGGAGGCCTGTTGTCTCTGCTGCTCCCGCCGCTCCTGCTCCTGAAGCTGCTCCCGCATCAGCTGTTGCCGCAGCAGGATGCGCGATGTCATGGCCGAGGAGCTCAGCGGGGGCTTGGAGGAGCCATGCTGGCCTGACGGGCTGCTGAGCAGAGACAGAGAAAGTGGGGGTGTGAAGAAAAAGAGCGGGTTGGA